CCCGTGTTCTTTTTTTTTTTTTTTTCTTCAATTTTGGGATAAAGCCTTGCTAAGTTGTTAGGTTTCCCAGAATAGGCTCAAACTTGGAATATTCCTGCCTCAGCCTCCCAGAGTGCTGGAGTAGAGGAGTGCAACATTCTTGGTTCCATGTTGCTCATTTAAATGAACTGACTCCCCCACGTAAGGCCAGCCTTAGCTGCACCCACCACAGGGATGACAAGATAGTTGTCTCTTCCTGACTTGCAAAGCCCACTTACCACCAAGGCCAGAGACAGGACTCACCAAGCTGGGCAGCAGCTCCCATCAGGGCATACTTGCCAGGGTCTGCCCAGATCTGCAGGGGTCAACATGGGGAACATCAGTAAGGTGGAAAACCCCTTGCCAAACCCACCAAGATACACCAGGCAGGGTGGTCAGGTCCAGGCCAAGCAATCCCACACGCAGGCCTGAATCCCCTGACTTAAGTACACATGTGCAAAAGATCCTAAACTTCACCATGTGCTACAACCAAATTATGGAAACGGTGTAGGTGCGCCTCACCTGGAGAGAGTAAATGAACCATGCTCCACTATATACACCAAAGAACTCAGCACAGGAGGCTGTGTTCTCTGCATCAAGGAAGTGCAGTGAGCAACAGGTACATGCTGTGAGGTAAGCTAGGCACAAGTGTCCACAGAGCTCACTGTGAGGACACACTCAGAGCCCCGACTTTGAGGAGATTCCTAAACATGCCAGGACAGGGAAAAACCTTGCAGACACTCTGCTTGGGGAAATATAGAGAGAGCACGTGGACCAGGAGAGGGCAAAACAAAACAAGGAGGAGGGCAAATAGGGACACTACTAAAGGGTACAGGATCAATACTGGATGCACACCCATGCAGGGCGGATGGAGTGGGTGCTTCCTGATATGGCCCTTTTCCTGGTTGTGCAAGGGATTGAATCTAGAGCCTCAGGTGCGCTAAGTGATTACTCTAACAATGAGCCACATTCCCAGCCTCTGTGCTCCTTTTATCATTTTTCAGTCCCGTTTGATGATGAAAGTGAAAAAGGGAAAATAACAAAATAAAAACAAATCCTCACAGAGTCCAGAAAGAGGAGAGAAGGCTGGGGAGGCTGCCATCCTGGGTAGGCCTGCTGTTGCAGGCAGCCCTCACGCTGGCAGTGCAGGTGTCCAGGGCAGGGGTGGTCCAGCCCCAACACCAGGACATGGGCTTCTGGACAGCAGGCACCAGCCAAGTCTAAATGGCCCAAAGTGCTTCTCATATTTTTAAAAAATTACATTCTCTTACTAGTAACACCATTTTCCCCCCACGTCTTCGTGACACCCTACTCTCATGAGTGTGGCGGCTACTGGATGGGGGATCACGGGGACTGGTCAAACCACTGGGCTCCAGCCTCCTCCCTCCAGCTCCCCACTTACTGCTGCTCCTGTGAGGTAAGACAGGGAGATGCCAAAAAGCCGGCCCCAGGCGGCCCCGATGAGTAGGGATGGGATGAAGACACCAGCAGACACAGTGAGGCCATAGGTCCAACAGGCCAGGAAGAAGTAAACCAGGGTGAATAGGCCCAGGGTCATGGGGTTGTAGGAGCCTAGGGGAAAGCAAAGCTACTGGTGTGCCCACTACACGCATGCCTGTGAGGGCTGTCCCATCTGGCCTCAGAGGTCACCTAAACCCTGATCCGCCAGTGGTCCCACAGCCTCAGCCTTCTCAGAGAAAGGAAGGGAAGCTGAGGAGAGGGCAGCCTGATGCTAGCAGTGCAGGGGTCGAGGGTGGGGGTGGACTAGGACCAACACTAGTGACACATCTAGACTCACTAGAAGGTCCCTCTGTCAGTTCACCTTAACTGTCAACTTGAATGGATTAAGGCTCCCGGAAAGGTGACTTGACCATGGGGTCACCGTGCTCCTCAGTGGATGAGCACACCCACCTGTGCTATTAGAAGATGGGGGGGCAGCTGGAAGAAAAGGTGGGTCACTGGGTGCGCCTTTGGAGGGCATCTCTCTGACACTTTTCCTCTATTCCCCATTTTCCACCACCACGGATTGCATAGCTCTGCACCCTACACGCTGCCACCATGATGTTCTGCCTCCCTCTAACTCGCAGAAATGAAACCAGGGCCAGGGATTATAGCTCAGAGGTGCCACGCCTGCCTGGCAAGTGAAAGGTCCCGAGTATGAACCCCAGTACCAAAAAAGGAAAAAGAAATGAAAACAGCTAACCATGGGCTGAAACCTCTGAAACCATGAGACAAATGAATTCTTTCCTTCTTTAAATTGTGTACATCAGGCATTTCACTCTGGTAGTAGGAAAGCTGACCAACACAGGCACCACTACCTCAGAGCCCTGCCTGGAATTCCACATGGGAATTGGGGTGCATACCCCGGAAGGCAACAGCCAAGCTCCTGGCGCTGCAGGACTGGATAGCCCAGCCTCAGGTCAACCACCTGAATGGGGACAGGCCTTCCCTCAAGCCGGAGCTTCCCAGGTTGGTTCCCATGGAAAATGCCCTCTGTGGAGGTGGGCAAATGAGATTGGTTTGGCTGGGCTGAGGTCACAGGACATGGAGAGGACACATCTGAGAAAGGTACAGGGCCCAGGAGACCTGCTCCTGGCCACCATAGGTTCTCCAGCCAAGCTCCAAGGCCTGGGGGCTTGCTCTTCCCAGACAAGCTGCTGAGAGGTTGGATTGTGAAATGAAGTCACAAGGAGAAAGGAAGTCATGGTGGCCAAAGTGTGGAAGCCTGCAACAGGCACTGGTTTGTGTGGTAAGATCACCATGGCATAGACTTCAGGGTTAGGAGGGGAGAAGTCACATACGGAAGGCCATCCACTCATCACAGGCTGAGTGACTGCAGGCAGGAGACATGTCCAGAGGTAGGAGCTGCTTACACATGCAGGGTACTGGGGCCAGTTAGGTGCCAGTCACTTCAGACAGACTCTAGGCCTCCTCACTGCACCCTTAAAAGGGTTTCTGTTAAACCTCAGGAACCAATCCCTCTCAGACACAGAGCTAAGGACAGGAAAGTCCTCAGCAGCCCCATACCAGGAAACAAAAACAATGGTTAAGGTGGGTTTGGTGGCAGGAAGGCCAAAGCAGGAGGGTCACAAATTTGATCCCAGCCTGGGCAACTTAGTGAGACCCTGTCTAAAAATAAAAAATAAAAAGTAGGGGATGGGGCATAGTGGTGTGCACGCCTGTAATCCCAGCCCTCAGGTGGCTGAAGAGGATCACTATGAGTTCAAGGCCAGCCTGAGTTATATCACTATGTAACTCAAGGCCAGCCAGAACTATGTAATGACACCCTATCTCAAAAAGAAAAAGGGAGAGAGCGGGGGAGAAAGGGAGAGAGAAATAGAAAGAGAGAGAGGGAGGGGGAGAGGAAGGGGAAGAGAGGGAAATGGAGGAAGGTGGGGGAAGGGAGACCAACTGAGATCAGAAATTTAGCTCAACAGTGTTGCACCTGCCTGGCAAGTGCAAGGTTCTGAGTTTGAGTCCTGGTACAAAAAAGAAAAAGAAAAGAAAGAAAAAAGAGGGAAAGGGAGAGGGGAAAGGGGGGAGGGGAAGGGGAGGAAAAGGAAAGGAAAAAGAGAAAAGCAAAGAAGTCTCCAGGTGGACAGGAGCTCCAGAGCCAACCTGACCACATGGCTGAGGGCTGGGGCTCATGCCCCAGGCACATGCTGTTCTCGTATCAGAGGTGTGATGGGAATAAGCTGTGGCACGGAGTCATCAGGCTGGGTTTCTGACAATGCAGCCTCCACTGGGAGGTGTGATGAAGGCAGCCCCAGAAAGGAAGGAGGCAGTGGTGGTGTGGGGACTCTGGCCAGCTCTGCTCTAGGCACATGGCCCCCATTTGCATGTAGGACCACAGTACTCCTGCAGTGCCCCTCAGCCGACACCAGCACTGCTGCCTCTTCAGTTCCAGGGATACCTCTCCAGCCTTGGGAAACAACCTCTGGACTAAGAACCTGGCCAACATCACCACATGGGCCAGCAGTGCCGCCCGGTACACACCTGGCGGGTCATGGAAGAGGCTCACCACACTCTTCTCTGGGGTATTGAAGAAGGCTGCAGCCATAGAGTTGTATTCGCCATCTGCACAGAAGAGCTGCAAGGTTGGGAAAGAGGGCACATCAGCGAGAAGATGGCCCACGGGATATTAACATACACCTGGTGTTGCCATCAAGGAGAGCTAACAGTCCAGAGGATACATGCCAAGACTTGGGGGAGGGAAAGGACACAAAGACCAGGCCAAGGTCTCCACAGGGCGACAGAAGTATGTCCATCCCTGCTGGGGGGTGGCCAACAGGGCCCTCGGGTGGACAACCCACCCATCCTTCTGTCTGGAAGAAACAGCTATTCCATGAGTAAACCACTAGAACCAATGTCAGATGCTAATACCTATGAGCCAGCAGGCCCAGCCCTCTTCCTCTTGGACACAGGCAGTACTGGGACCTCAGCAGGGCTGGACCACAGCAAAGCTGGCCTCATCGACCACAGTCCCACTAGCCAATGACAGGTACTGATGAGCCCTACCAACCCGTTCCTACCTGTCCCTACCAACCCTCACTTCCTACTTTGCACTCCCAGTCTTGGCCACTACTCACTGCTTCCTGTCTTCACAGAGGCCTGCTCTGGATAGCCCACCACTGGAATTGTGGACACCTTCGTGACATCCTTGGTGACTGGCTTATCTCCCTGAGTGTCATGCTTCTAAGGCCCACTCATGGTGTGCTAATGTCACTGCTTCTGTCCTATAACTGAATGCCATCCTCTGTATGAGTGGACCCAAGGGCAGTTCCCAGGTTGGGCAACTATCAATGAGCTGCCACAAATACCAAGTAAGGTTTTGTGTGGGCACAAGTCTGCATTTTAGAAGTCCATACCTATGAGCACCCTTCTAGGAAGATGGTAGTCCCTGCCCTCCTGAGCCCCAGGCCTACCTGAAGGGGGTAGGACATGGAGTTCCCCTGCAGGGGCTGGCAGTCTCGAGAGGAATAAATCAACACAAAGGCAACAGTGGCTGTCACAGCGGCCACCAGCATGGCCTCGATCACCTGCAGGCAGGGCCGGTGGATGTACCTAGAGTCAAAACCAGGACAGACCTTGCTACAGGGATGGAAAAGCAGACCCCCTGGCTGCTTCTGAGGCAGTTGTCATGGCAACCTGAATCACAGGACACTTCAGTGGAATGATACAGCACATGTTAAATGATCAACCCGCCCAGACTGCAGGACATGATGGGGTTATCTTCCCTGGGTGAAAAAGATTTAACAGCGGCACTGTTTCCCTGGCTATTCCGCTGAGACAAGATTCCTGCTGCATCCTACACTACCTGCCCATAGTAGCCCACACAATGGTGCAAGATTGAGATGTGCTTCTGCAACCCAGGATCCTTGCCTAGCTCCAAGACAGTTTGGAAGGTGAGTCTAACAAAGTAAAAGCCCCGTAAAAGTAGACATTGGTGCTGCCTGGTAGCTCCTAGTAGAGGGTGAGCCAGGCCAATCCTGGACTCAACCAGTGCCTGGCTCTCCTGCCCAGGGCACCGTCCCTCAGATGTGGAGCCTTCACTCCAGCCTAGGGATTACCTGTCCTCCTCCCAGGTGCTACAGGCCCTGCCTCCTCTTCTCTGAGTAGCTCAGTGAGACACAAACCATCAGGGAAGGACCAGTCAACACAAAGCCTCCTCCTCTGGCCAGGATATGGAACCCACAGCACAGCATCCATTTCAGAGGTCCTATGCAGTCACACTTCTCAACATGGAACACTAAACAGAGGCCTTTCCTCACCTGATTCGAAACATCGTCAGCCAGTAATTCAAGGCGTTAAACACGGCTCCAAGAATGCCACCTATGACCGTGAAGCAAACTCATATCAGTTCAGTGGGGCAGGTAGAAGACCCAGCTCTGCAGGCTTCCCAGAAGCAGGAAGTCTCAGCAGTGCTGAAACTCTTCCTCTGCCTCTCTAACTCTGGTGGTGGCGTCTTCCTTTTAGGGAAAAGGGTTTTTACAGAGTAACATAGACTGTGCATTCCTAACCAGATAATGCAAAACGTGAACCTCTGAGCACCAACATAACCACAAGTGGAAAATTCTACAACTGACCTCATGTGACAGGTCACGGTCAAAATGCAAAAGGCAGGCTGGGGAGTTAGCTCTGTGGTTCTGCCGCCTGCCTCGCAAGTGCAAGGACCCAAGTTCAATCTCCGGTACCAAAAAAAAAAAATGCAAGTGCACTAAAAATATCATATAAAATTATGACCAGGTGTGGTGCTGCATGCCTGTAATTCTAGCAGGAGGCTGAAGCAGGAGCATCACAAGTTTGAACCCAGTCTGGGTAACTTAACAAGACCCTGCTTCTGCCAGGGGTGGTAGTACACTGAGGAGGCTGAGGCAAGAGAATTGCTGCCAGTTTGAGGCTAGCCTGCGCTATGTAGTGAGTTCAAGGGCAGCCTGAACTACCCAGCAAGACCCTGTCTCAAAAAACAAAAAACCAAACAAATAAACGAAACAAAAAAAACCCAAGACCTTGCCACAAAAAACAGGCTACGAATTTTGTGGTTTGAAGTAGGTCCCATCCCCAAAATATTTAACTGTGTATATGCACTTATTCTAAAACACAGAAAAATCCAAAGCACTGAACCACTTCTAACACTGAGCATTTCAGATTAGGGACCCTCACCCCATAGAAGCTTCAGGCTGCTCTACCTCCCAGGAGACCACCTGTCTGTACCCACGGTTCTGCCAACAGAATAGTAACACAGCACAAGCCTGTGGCAGCGGAAGAACTCTGGGGGAAGCGTGCACGTCCTCCCCATCTCAGGTTTACACTCCAGTGCACCCCGAAGGGAGGGCCCTTACCCACCACGCCCATGGCGATGAAGACGGGAATCTCATGGATGGTGTAGGCCATTTTCTGTGTGGAGGGAGACAGAAGGCCGTGAGGGACCGTGTCCGCGGGGCCCCACGACCTGACTTGTCCATAAGGAGCCCTCCAGCACTTTCACCCGGAGCTGTAGAGGCCCGTGGGGAGGAGAAATGGGCATCTTGAGCAGCCCTCAGCCCACTCCCACCACAGTTGGTTTCAGCAACAGCTCATATAGCTCAGCTGGCCCTCAGCATGCGGCCACACCTGCACAGAAGCTATGGGTCCCTCTGGCCCTAAGAAGCAGGTCCCTGTGTATTCCTGGAGTGCTGCAGGGCCCTGGAGCTTATAAGCAAGAGCTACATTCCAAAGCCAAGAGCTGGAATTTCCACAAGACCAAGTTCAAGTCTGACTTAAGTAAAAAAAGGGTCCTGTCCTGGCACCAGAAGGGGCAAAGTGGGACAGGAAGGCTGGTTACCTCAGAGTCAAATCTTCCAAAGTTGATGAGGCCTGGACTGGACAAGTCCCACATATTTCCATGGTAAATGCTCAGAACAAAATTGAGAGTGAAGGTAGAAATCATGGAAGCAAAGAACTGCAGTAGAGGGACAGAGAGATGGGGGGATAGGTCAGTACCTCAGACAGAAGCTACGTACATGGCAAGCTGTAATGGAGCCTGCCCACCTACTGGCCCAAAGCCAGGCCTGGGGCTCCTGTCACTGAGGAGGGAGGGGGCTGGAGCCAAGCAGGCTGAGCCCCCTGCATGGCTAGGCAAAGATGGAGTCATGGCCCTATGGATAACTGTGGGTCTGGGGTCCCCAGAAGCTACCCAAAGTTGACAAGGGCACTCAGGACAGAGTGGAGAGCTAATGGGCCCATGAGGACATAGCTGTACAACATGAACAGGTGGGCTGAATTCAAGGTGTCCACTGTGACCCGGAAATGGCTGTTAGTGCTGCCTGACCTCAGGGATGGGGACATAGGAGCCCCTGGCTGGGGGCTATTAGCAGGTACTTACGATCCTCCACGTCAGGAACTGGTTCCAAAAGGAGGCGCCCTCCTCCAGGCTGAAAAGCACACCGCCTAGAAGGTATCAGGAGGCCTGGAGTGCCAATCCAGGCACAGGCATCTGCAACCACTTCCCCCTCCCACCCTAGACCCCAGAGACCAAGACTTGGCTCAAGGAGCCACTGGGATGGGACGTGGCCACAGGGAGAAAGGCCTCTCGGGAGTTTGAGGGCCAGGCCCAGGTATGCTAACCAATCCTGCTGGCCCACCCTGACAGGCACTTAGTCTGCAAACACCAAGCCTGCCAGGCATGAAGTTCTCAAAAGCAAAGCCCAGCCCAGGCGAGATGGTCCCTCCTTACCCACAGGGGCTCCAAATGCAGCAGATACTCCAGCTGCAGCTCCTGCTGAGACAAAGTCCCTCTTCTCTGTGTCTCTGCGGAAGTACTCAAAGATCTGAAACAGAGACTCTTTGCAGGCACTCCTCACAGGGAAAAAAATCAAAGACAGGCCAGCTAGGGATGATAAAGATGTGCTCACTTTGGCAACACATATATTAAAATAGGAGCGTGAGGGAGGAATCTTCTCCTCCATAATTACATCACTGATTTTAGATGTGTGGAACTTGTCCTGTCCAGGACTCATGAAGATGCTACAGGTGGCTATAGCAGGTCATAGGCTGAGAACATGAGTGCCCATGGCCAAGAAAAAAATCAGATTTCATTTGCTAGAGCCACTCAACTTCTCAGGTCACAGAGACCTGAAGAAATCCAAGTAACTGAAAAATCTACATTTGTTCTTTTTTTTTTCTTTTTCTTTTCTTTTTGGTTTTATTAAGACAGGGTCTCACTATGTAGTTCAGACTGGCTTTGAACTCATGGTGATCCTCCTGCCTTAGCCATCCGAGTGCCGCTGGGATTACAGGTGTGCACCATACCCAACTCATTACATTTGCTCCTGATTTTGAAAAAGTACTATCGACTGTAGAAGTGTGAATCACCTCCAAATTCAAATAGAAATTAATCAAAACATTGATGATTTTGTGGAGAAACAAGACAAAACTGTCTCAACTGTCTGGAAAACCAGCATCAGTGCCCACCCCCAGTTCCAACGTTCTTCAGGTGAAGGTCCTCTGAGAAGCTGGTTAGAAACACAGACCCTTTGACAGATGCGTAACACATGACACCAGAATCAAGGGACAGGCCGTGGAGAGGCCATATGGTGTTGAAGCAAAGGACCCATGCCCGTGCGTCAAGGGGGCAGGCTAGGCTGCCACTGGGTAAAGAAGGGGGTGGGCTCACCCTGGCCTAACCTAGAGGTGTGGAGTGAGGCCCATAGGCCCTGGCAAGGGCTGTGCATGGAGAAGGAACCCAGATCCAGGGGATGCTCATGTCCACAGACGACTAGTCTACCTCCACCTAGGGAAGGCTCACCTTGAAATCTCGCTTCAGTGACGTTGATCTTCCCTGGGAGATCCCAGCAGCAATCACTGATCCGGAGTGGATCATTGGTCCTTCCTGAAAGCACACAGTGACCAGTACTAAGAGACCAGGGATGGAGACTCAAACTGGGACAGCGTCACAGGCACTCTATTACCTTTCCAACTGCCAGTCCTCCTACCACAGACAGAATCACACCAGATACCTTGATCACTAGCGTCTGCAACAGAAGAGAAAAGGTAAATGAAGACCAGACGTTCTCTATGCATTCAAGTGACAAAACCATATGCAGTGACATGACTCAAGGACACATGAACCACAAACCTCGAAGGCCAGTGACACAGTGTATCCTTGGCAGAGGCTTCCAGCTGGCTCTCTCCATACCCTACCGTCAGGACAGCAGCCACAGTGCCACACCCATTCAGGGCATGTCCTTGGCGGACCCTGGACATTTCTCTGGTGAGTGTAGGTCTTTCCTTCCCCACCCAAGAATGAGCTGCACCCTGTCCCACAGTCTGTGTCTCTGCCTCTTTGAACCCAGCTGAGACTGGTACATGGCCCTCACTCACTCAGCAAAAGGAGTGCTGCCACCTGGGGCCCTGCCCTATACATCCTATGGGTACCCTGCTCTGCTGCATCCTCTCTGTGTCCCCATTTGAACAATGTATGTTCAGCATCAGCATCTGCACCAGGCTGGTAGCTGAAAATGTGAAGGCTGGGGACTGCAACTTCCCTCACCTGCTGGGGGCTCATGACACTTGTAGGAAGAAGGCTGACTCTGTCACTGGGCCTGACAAGAGTGAGAAACTCATGCGACACACATTCCCCACCTGCCCTCCCATGGAGTGCACAAACGCTGAACAATCCAGAGTGGCATTGGGAAACAGAGCTTCATGCTCAATTAAGACACTAAAAGGGCCAGGGATTTAGCTCAGTGGTTCCGCTACCTGCCTCGCAAGTGCAGGGACCTGAGTTCGATTCCCAGTACCAAAAAAAAAAAAAAAAGACACTAAGGGAAGCATTCCAAACCCAGCCAGCCAAGCGGTCACCAAAAAGTGCTTAACAAAACTTTCTAGAATGTGATAGCTTGCCTACATGGTTGGTAGTGAACAGGTCAGATGTCATTCACAGTAGCACTAGGTTAACCCTATTTAAACATAGGGCCAAAGCACAGGCTCTGCTGTGTGTGGTGGTACACACTTGAAATCCCAGCACTCTGGTAGGCTAAGGCAGGCAGATCGAAAGTTTGAGCCCAACTCCAACTTCGAGAGATTCTATCTCAAAATAAATTTTAAAAAAATAATAATAATGATAAAAAATTTAAAAAGCTGGAGATGTAGCTCAGTGCAAAGGCCTTGGGTTCAATCCCCTGTACTGCACCCCCACCCACCACCAAAGAAAAGCAAGCACAGCGCTCTCCAGCTGCCCAGGAGGACCAACTGCTCCTCCTTGGCCATGGAACATTGGGCCCAGAAACCACCCAGGGGACGATGCAGAGCACCCAAGCCCGGGAGTGTTCAGGAAGCTGCAGCGACCCATCCTTCTGAGACAGGGAGAAGCAGCAGCTTCTGCCACTCTGGTTCAGAAGACAGAAATGGCTGTGAGCAAAATATCTCACAAGTGCCCCATCTCCGTGAAATTAGGATGCTACCAATGACACTAAGTATAATGGGTATTAAAGAAAATTTTGAAAATAAGGGAAAGCAGGACATGGTGGTACATCCCTGTACTCACTCTCAGCACTCTGGGAGGCTGAGGCAGGAAGATTCCAAGTTCAAGCCCAGCCTGGGTAAATGAGTGAGATTTTGTCTCAAAATAAAAAGGGCTGGGAGATAGTTCAATGCAAAGGCCTTGCAGTCAAGGCAAACAAACAAACAAACAAGGTTTACTCCTACATAAATCTGCCAGCCATCAGTGCACACCACTGCCAGCACACAAGGGACTGAGGACAGAAATGGAGGAGCTATGGGCAAAAGATGTGCCTTAGAAACAGCAGATACCCAGCAGAGCACCACATGTCCCATCTAGAGTTGCTTTGCACCTCACCTTGAGCCGCACCACATGGGGGATCTTCACCCCGTTGAGGAAGCACTTGATCTGGGGGATCCCACTGCCGGCAGCAACTGGCTAGAAGGACAGGGAGGGCCACTGAGCAGGCAGAACCCCCACATCCCAAAAATATCCGGAAGGCCTGGCCTGTGCATGAAGCCTCGGTGTCTAAGAGACATTCTCATGTCCCCTAACCCCAAATATAGAACCACCTCTGAGAGTTAGTCAGTGAGGTGTGGTCAAGGCTGCAGGTAAAGACACATGCTCCCAGGAAACTGGGAGGACAGTCCAGGGTAGACGGGCACTCATATACCAGCAGGAAGAGCCAGAATCTTCTGTGGGTGGGGCCCTGCTCTATACTCCACAGAAGTTTCTACATTACTGCCTCTCCTTTCTTCTATCTTCTCACGACAAGGGCAGAGAGCAAAAATGGGCCTATAGAAAGGGAGATTTCTGGGAAAAGCTCCAGGAAGCAAAGTGCCCTACAGAGTCAACACCCCCCACACACACATCTCAGCCCCCAGCCAATGTCTCAAGGACCATGGAACACCTTAGGGCCCAGTGGACAATTCTGAGGGAGGTGTGTGACCTTCCCTTCCCATGGGGGTGAGGGGTCCCACTGGTCCTGATCCTCTGCTTGAGTGAGTCAGCCCCATTCCTGGGATTCTGCAGACAGTGTCACTGTCTAGGGTATATACTTCTACATGAGCATAAAAGCAGGCATAGTGTGCCCGAGTGGCAAGGGGGAAGGGTAGGGGTGGACAGGCTCATGTGGCTGGATGGGTGGCACACAAGAAGTCTGGAGGGAGGAGGCCCTGGTATGTTTGTGATTCTCATGGTCACCGACCCAGGACACTTGTGAAGATGAGCTGGAAGGGTCTTCATCTATTTGCTGAGACCCCTGCTTACCTCTATAAAGGCCACAATCACAGAGCCAAGGAGCACGAAGGCAGAGTTCAGCGTGGCCCACAAGAGCAGAGAGAAGGACAGTCCACCTTTCTCCGTAAACTTGTCGATATCTGCAGGCTTGTCAAGGAGAGGCAGCGCTACCACCTGGGCCCAGGCCCACACCAGCCCACCTCACCTCTGCAGCAGCTGACCCAGCAAAGACTGGTATTGACCCAGCTGCCCAACAAAGCACAGCACTACCTGATAGCTCAGACATATCTCAACCACTTCAGACAGAGACACAGCCTTCTCCTGGATTACCACTGCGCCAGACTCAGGGGGCAGGACAGACACTTGGCAGTCCCACAAGGGCAGACACTTGGGCTCTCCCACAAGACTCCATTTCCCAACCGCCAGGCTGGGCAGCTGTAAAGGACACTGTCTTTGATGAGCCTGTACTTCAGGCCAGCCAAGTTCTCTACCACGATGTCGATGAAGCAGGCCACAAGACCTGTGAGGATCCCGATGAGGGCGCATATGACCCAGCGTTTAATCTCCACTGTTCGGAAGGCCTGTGGGAAGAGGCATAATTGGCAAATGCCCTGCTGTAGGCTACCAGGGGACCAGCATGAGTGGCTCTTGGGATTCCCAAGGCTGCCACCACATATAGTGCTCTCCAACGGGGACCCGAGTCCTGTCCACTGCAGCCAATGGCAACATCTCAGTCCCCAGTCAATGTCTCAAGGACCACGGACCACCTCAGGGCCCAGTGGACAATTCAGAGGGAGGTGTGTGACCTTCCCAACAAATTAACAATCAGTTGTTGATATTTTGGATATTATGTCAGATATCTGCAAGCATAGTCTTTAATTGCAATGCCCATGATCATGACAGACTCTCCCAATGTTTCTGATATCTGGGGCCAACTGTCACATGCTTAGGGCCCCAGAGACAACCTCAGGAACCAAGAGCAGCTCTAAAAGCCAGAGGTTCGGGGACAGGTGGGGAGGGAGATGGAGAGAGCAGGATAAAAGCCCAGGCCACTGAACCCCAAGGGCCCACCTCACCGTGTGATTGATCCGTCGTTCTTCCTCTAAGAACAGCTGGTTCTCACTGTTGTCATAGTCCAAACTCTGTGGACCAGGAATGCAGGGACACAATTACTGGCTAAGGAATGGAGCGGGGGGTGGGGGGTGGAAAGGGCCTGGATCCAGGGGCAGGAAGATGGTGGCCTACCTCATACTTGAGGGACAGGAGCTTCTCGTTGTGAGGGATCTCCTTGGGGAAGGGATGGGGAAAGTTCACTTCCTGTGGAAGGAGAAGGCAGAGCCCACACTTTACAAGAGACACAAGGGGGAGAGGAAGAGACACTTCCCATCTCATCCTGGAGCCCAGCATTATCCTGACACCAAAGGTGGATCAGGAGGTCACAAGAAACCTGCAGAATAATGCGTCCCCTGAATACAGACATAAAAATACTCCACAAGAAGTGAGCAGAGGGGGGCCAACAATACCACAACCAAGACGGACTCTAGGAATGCAAGGTCAGTTTATACTTCAAACTCAACTGATGTAACACATCACACCAACAAAATAAAGGCCAAAACACACAAGATTGTGTCCAGATAGACACACATCAAGATGTGACAAAATCCAACATCTCTTTACAATAAAAACACTTGATACAATAAAAAGAGGTTCCTGCATGGGCACAGTGGTGCATGCCTGTAATCTCAGCTACTCAGGAGGCTGAAGAAAGAGGATGGCAAATCTGAGCCCTGCCTGGGCAACTTAAGAGATCCTGTCTCAAAATAAAAAATAAAAAGGGCGGCAGTTGAGCACTTGCCTACCAAACCTGGTTCCGAGTCCATCCCTAGCACCAATATACAAATGGATGGATGGATGGTTAAAGAAGAGAGCTTCCTCAATCTGACAGAGGCACTATGAACGCCCACAGGAAACACCATGCTCAACAGCAAGTAACTAGAAGCTTTCCCCATAAGATCAGGATGAGGATGCTCACTTCTGACTACTCAACATTGTTTCAAAGGATCCAGCCAAGGCAATGAGGAAGGAGTAGGGATAGAAGGCATTCAGAATGGAAAGAAGGGGGCCGGGGATTTAGCTCAGTGGTTCTGCCACCTGCCTTGCAAGCGCAAGGACCCGAGTTCAATTCCCAGTACAAAAAAAAAAAAAAAAAAAAAGTACAGAAAATCTTAACACATCAAAACACTACTAGAATAAACACTTAGGAAGACTACAGGATACAGAAACCAACTGTACTTCTATGTACTTGCAAACTGAAAATAAAAATAAGAAAAAATTACATTAATAATAGCATAAAAATAAAATATAAACAGAGTACAATGCTCCATACCTCTAAACACAGGCAGGAGGACCTAAAGTTTAAAGTGAATCTGGAACCAGGCATAGTGGTGCACACCTTTAATCCCAGGTTTGAGGCCATCCTGGGCTACATAGTGAGTTCCAGGTCAGTCTCAATTACACAGTGAGACCTTGTCTCAAAAACCCCAAGTTAA